TGCCTGGGCGCAAGGCGCGGGGGGCTGGGGGAGCCTGCTCCTAGACTTTCAATTAGGTTTTTATTTGACTTATTGAGGTTTCCTTTCCCGGAATTCTGCTTGTTTTTTTTATCCACAGAACCTCTATCTCTTTACTGAAGCAGTCTTTCATATCCTGCATTGTCCTCTTTAATTGATTCAGCTGCTTATTTGTATCTTTTTTATCTTTTTGGTAATTTTAACTATCAACTTTTAAAATTGTTCTTCTGGAATTTCATTCACTTTGGTATATTTAGGATCATTTTTTTGGTAGTGTTGTATTTTTGGAAGTATCTGTTGTCTTATGCAGTGATTATAGTTAGTTGTATCAGCTTGATTAGCTTCAGAGCTGCCAAGAGATTAGTAAGAACACTTCTCTCTGTGCTGCGTGGGTCATAGAGGTATGACCTTGGGACCTTTCCTTGCTCTGTTTCCTGACCATAATGAACCAAGCTTACATCTTTTCTCTGCCACACTCTTCCACCGTGAGATTTCTGCCTTGGAGCCAGACGAGCATGGATTGAATCCCCTGTAACCATGAGCTAAATTAAACATCTCCTCCTTGAAGAGAGTGTTGGGTATTATGTCCTCATAATAGGAAAGATGATTAATACAGAAAACTGGTGTAAGAGAAGTGGGTTTTTTGCCAGACGTGGAGCTACAGGACTTAAAGTTTGCCCTGCTGGGTTTCTGTTTTGCTTTGGTCCTGTTCTTTCTATCCCTGTGTTCTTCCCTTTTGGAATGGAAATGTTTACCCTGTGCCATCATACTTTGGGATTATGTAACTTGTTTTCTATTTTCACAGAAATTTACAGCTAAGAGTTTGGCTTGAGTCTCAGAAAAGATTCTGACTTAGATTTTTGAAAATGCTGGAACTGTTGAGACAGTTTTAAATACCTCTTTTACCTGAGTATCCATCTAATTCCCCACATCTGGGAAATTTTAGTAACATCCATGACTTTGGAAAAGGGATTATTGCACTCTCTGTTGTACACAGGCTAGTTATGTTAGGTAGAATTATTAATTTGTTGTTGTGTTACTATCGTTGTGTTTATTTGTAGATTGTGTATTTTAGGGGATGTGTTTTGAGTGTCAAGTTGACAAGGAGTAGAATGTGGTAGTTAAATTCTGTTTTGTCAGCTTAATTAGCTTGGGAGCTGCTGAGAGGATTAGTAAAGGATACTTTTGGATGAATCTGGATGAATCATGGAGGCATAACTCTGGAATCTGTGTGGTCTTTTGCTCCTTCCTGTTTTGCTTCCTGGCCGCCATGAACTAAACATCTTTGCCCCACCACTTTTGCCATGATATTTCTGCCTTGGAGCAAGATGACCATGGGATGAATTCCTTTAAACTGTGAGGCAAATTAAACCTTTCTTCCTTTAAATTGTAGGTATTGGGTATTGTGCCACAATGATGGGCAATCTTACTAATATACCTTCTTTTTCATTTAGTTTTATTTCTGTATTGAGGTTTATAGATGCGTTGACTAGAATGTGTCTTCCACTGTTGTGTGGTATTTGTTTCTTTTTTTTTTTTTTTTTTTGTAAATGGCTTTTACTTTTGTGATGTTCCCCAGTTATGAAATAGTACAAATCTGTACTATTTCACTAACTCAAGAAAAAACAGAGTAATACAGTATAGTAGGCTAGAAAAAATAAGCATAGATGATATTCAGAATATTTCAATTAGTACATATAGAGAGGAAGGGATAGAAAATAGAAAAGAAGGAAAAATATAAAATTTTTAATAAAAGGAAATTGAAAGGGGGAAGTAGAAAGAAAGTAAAAAGGGCAGAGAAAGGAAGGGAATATAGATGGGAGGTGAGCAGGAAGACAAGGAGATTGTGCTGCAGTCTGCCCTGTCTTCTCTTGGTCTCAACTCCAGGTCCTGCTTGCACTCAACAAGCCCACATTTCATTGGCTTTCAGGGTTGAGGAGGAAGCTGGCCCAGCTGCTGCCAGCTATTTCTCTCCACGCATGGATTCCAGCTGCTGCAGACTGAGTTTCTCTCCAGTATCTTCTCTCTGTGCCTGGTGCAGTGGGGAGGCTCAAAACCTGAAAGGAGAATGTCAATCAGTATCTCTCTCAATGCTCCCATTGCTCACTGCCTGCAGCCCTGCCTCAGTCTTCTGAGACTCTCTCAGGCCTGTGGTTCCTCAAATCCCAACACTTAGGAGACAAATACCCGAGTATAGACTGTCTGGTACATCTTCCTGGTTGTCACCACTTCTGGCCCCACTGCAGCTCTCCAGGTTTCAGTATGGCCCACAACTCACAGGGCCTTGGTGAACGGGGAGGTGCTCTCCTCTGGTTATTCCCATTTCTGGCTTGTGTCAGAGATAGGGATGGGGACTGTTCAGCTGGCTTTGGTGATGGCTGGGGTGAGCGCCAAGCCCCAGCCACCAGTTTAGGCCTCTTACCCTGGAAGTTGGGTGGTGTCTGAGTTGGGTCATGGTTTAGTTTTCCATTAAAGCTTCATGTTTCTATACCTGCTCATTATCCCCTTGAAGTTACATTCCAGTGGTTGGTGTCCCAACCAACCATGCATGCGTGCAGGGACTGACCTTGAGGAGTTTCTTGGAGCAGTCAGTGAGTGCTGCTTTCTCTCTGCCATCATGATTGTAACTGCATATAGTTAGAGTTTTGGTTTTAGTTTTTTTATGGGCATAGAGTTTAGATTTTGATAGGGCCCTTTTATTTTTATTTGTGCTCTTAACATTCACTTTAAGAAAGTAGTAGTAGAGATTTTCCAATAATATTTACGTTTATGTTATATTCAGAAAGATTGTTTATAGTAATAATTGACTCTGGCATCATGTTATTTTCTTCAGCAATTTATTTTTTGTGCCAGACAGCTGTAGGCATTTGCAGTTCTGGAATCACCTATGACTATTATCAAGGGTCAAGATTAATGGAAGCTGATTGCAATCCTTCTGAAGGTCATTTTTTCCCCACATTTCTTCTTATAAACCTAAGTCTTAATCTAATACCTCATCTTCCTAGTCTTTAATTCCAATGTTTTCCCTCATAGTGCTAAGAGTTTAATTCAAGTGCTCAAGATCGTACTGTTAGTGGTAGAGCTAGGACTTTGATGTCAGCAATCTGATTTCAGAACCTAGGGGTTATGCCATCCACAGTGAGTGATGAGTTCTATCTGTTCTACTTGCCATTATATAGCTGTATCTAACATAACACATAGTAAATATTGAGCAAACTGCCATTAAGTGTAAGAATTAGTATTCTCTTAGTTCATTTGAGCTGCTGAAGAAATACTAATGGCAAATAAATATATGAAAAAATGTTCAATATCATTAGTCGTTCGAGAAATGCAAATTAAAACAACACTGATATTCCATCTCACCCAAGAAAGAATGGCTATCATCAAGAAATCAACCAATAACAAATGCTGAAGAGGCTGTGGGGAGAAAGGAGCCCTACTCCACTGCTGGTGGGAGTGTAGATTGGTGAAACCATTGTGGAAATCAATTTGGAGATTCCTCACAAAACTAGCATTGGAAGTCCCATTCAACCCAGCTATTCCCCTTCTGGGTATTTTCCCAGAAGAATTAAAGATACCATACCACAGCGATGTATGTGCACCCATGTTTATAGCAGCACAATTTGTTATAGCTAAATCTTGGAAGCAACCCAAATGCCCATCCACTGAGGAATGGATAAAAAAAGATGTGGTATTTTTATACAATGGAGTATTACTCAGCTATAAAAAAGATAAACTCGAGGCTTTTGTACGTAAATGGATGCAACTAGAGACCATACTCATAAGTGAAGTAAATCGGGCCCACATGTATAAGTACCATATTGTCTCCTTGGTGTAGGAACCTGAAAGGGTAAGTAAAACTCAAAACGTACAATAGATGACAGAAAAGGGAAAGAAATTGCTCAAAGGAAGGAACGACTGGGATGAGGAAAAGAAGAAAAAAGAAAGAAGGAAAGCAAAATGTAAATATATTTATGAATAGCTGTGGTAACTGCATTGCTGATATTTGATGGCATATTGAAAGGAATAGTTAATGCTTAAAATTTTTTATGTTCTGATCAATTTTGCATGCTTGTGTCTGGTAATCTGGGCAGCTGATTTGAAGGTAACAATATGCAATGGAATTACCACGGTGAATTCCTACCATCTTGTCTAGTGAAACTCTGTATTCTCTAATGTTTTATCTAATAATTATTTTCTTAATTTCTCTTTAGTTGTTTGAACAATCTTCCATTCTTACATCTGGTAATCTGAGCAACATAGTTGAGGATAGCAATATGTAATATAACAACCACTGTTAATTTGTATTATTTTGTCTTGAAACCCTGTATCACTTTAAATGTTCTTGGTTTGGTTTGTTTATGTTTGTGATACTGGTATGCTGCTATTGTTCTACTTTTTGTTTGTTTGTGTCTCATTTACTGCTCTCTTTAAAATAAAAAAAAAAAGTACCATAGGCCACTTGGCTTATAAGCAGCAGAAATGTGTTGCTCACAGTTTTAGAGGCTGGGACATCCAAGATTAAGATTTCAGCAGATTCAGTACTTTGTGAGGCCCCTTTCTTGGTTCATAGATGTCTGTCTTTTCTTTGTGCTTTCATGGGTGAAAGTGATACAGGATCTTTCTGGGACCTCTTATAAGGGTACAAATCCCATTCTAATCACCTCCGAAAGTCTGTTGCAAATATGTCCTCCTTAGTAGTGTTATTGATGGCGTTTACTTCCATACTTGGAAACTTGAATCAACAAATTACTGATCTTTGTTTAGCGCTCAACATTTTGGACATATCAGGATCTCCATAGATGTTGAATAAATTAAAAATACATAAAGGAATAAACAACTCAAATATCCCAAATGTTTGTTTTTTATTGTCATCTTTAAAGCTTGACTAGAAAATTAAGTTAATTTAATTCATGTAAAATAAAAGTAATGTTAGATAATCTTAATTTTATTTTACTTTTAAATCTTTACTCCCCCTATAGAGTTGAACTTACACTCCTTTTAGAAGAATGGATTTGTTAGATTTCAAAAAGCTTATGATTCTTCTCTGGAAGAATTTTACTTTAAAGGTAAGATGAACTACACATATAAAATATACATGTGAGTATATATAAATATATGTGTAAGTATATATAAATATGTATGTGTGTGTATGAAGGTAAGTTGAACTATATGTATTTCAACATTTCAGAGGCCACCAAGGGAAATTCTGAGAGCCTGAGTGTTTAATTTTAATTTATATTGTTTCACTTTTTTCATTTCTGGGGTTGGGGCTATCTGTTCTAGACATAGACTTTTCATAGAGTGAAATAATAGCACAGTGTCACACAGAAAGGAATACAAAGTCCATGAAATTGCTGCTATCAAAGTGAAGCTATGTTTATTGACCATGTATGTTTTCCTTATGAAGGAGAATATTCCTTATCTGTTAATATAAAATTATTAGCCATTTGTAAATTTAGTAACAGGAAAATTAATATAATTTTTTTTACCCTTCTAGAGGCGGAAATGTATGGCTTTAGTTGTGGAGATACTCATAGCAGTTATGTTTGGTATTTCACTTTTGGGACTACGCAATATTATTATTTTAAAAAAGACTGGACCTTTCAATTATACTGCTTTTCCTGTCAATCATAAACCTTCATTCATTGAAGCACCTGTCACTTTTCCTTATCCTTGGGAATTGGCTTACATACCTTCCAAAAGTGCTGTGGTACAGAATATTGTTGAAAACGTGAAAAAGGATTTAAACACCAACATGAAAGGTTAGAAATTAAAGTTTTCTGAAAACACATATTATTGTTTTAGCAAAAAATGTACTTATAACCCTTTCAACTAGATAATTATCTTCCATGTAAAACACTGTAAGATATTCATATAACCAGATATTAACACCTTAAGTGCAATATTATAAACTTATTTAAACTCGAGTTAAATTCATATAAAAATTTTTCCCTAAAAAGTTCAGAACAAACAGTAATAGTAAGTCTTTCTGTTTCTGTTTTTCCAGAACCTCTGTAAGTATAACTTCAGGGCATATGACAGTATACAACAATTACACAAAGACACAGGATAAGCATGAGTCTTTATTCTGAATGCATATTCAGTAGTTGGTTACTTAAAACACTGTTCATATAAATATATTACACACATCATAGACCATGTATATTAGTCTGTTTTAGGTTACTATAGCAAAATAAATGAGGCTAGTAATCTAAAAAAGAGAAGAGGCTTATTTAGCACACAGTTTTGGAGACTAAAAATCTGAGAATGGGTGGCCCCACTTGTTTAGCATCCAGGGAAGGTCTCCTTGGCTACATTTAGTGAGTGGTGGAAGCATGTTTGAGATGAAAGAAGCACATGGAGAAAAGGAAGCTAGAAAGATTTGGGGAAAGGCCCATGCTTTTCATAACAACTCACTCTCATGGGAACCAACCAGAGCTCTGTGAAAACTGTTAATTCCTCCCAAAGACAATGCTATTAGTAATCTAATTACAGTGGATCCACACTTAAAGTTTCCACCACCTTCACATCACTGTACTGAGGATTAAGCTTCCATCATAATGAACCTTTGGACAACATACTCAAACTCAGCCATAGCAAAGTGCTTTAGAAAGATGGGCAGAGTTATTTTAAGAGTTTCCAATTCTTCACTTACCTACACAGTCCAATTTCTCAGTCCGATTTCTCTCCTCTTTCTCCCAGACATGAACATTGTCAAAAGTTTTCTGGGTATCTCTCTAGTGACATTCTCCTTTACATAAACACACACACATGTGCACACACACATGCACTTTTATTCACTCATGTATTTTTCCACGGTTTTTGGCCTGAAGGGATTTGAAAGTCCTACAGAGTAGATGCTGTCTCAAGAAATTCCTTATTTAAAATAAATACTGAAGCAGAATGATGCAAATTTCCTTAATAGTTTTTGAAGTATGAAATACAAGTATACCAACGAATAGTTACCAATGACTGTGAATTATCCAGAATATTTAATTTCCAATCTGTTTCTTCTTTCATGCATGAAATTCTAGAACTTGTAGAAGTGTGTTACTCAAATTCCAAATATTTGCTGGTTTGCGGTATATTTTTGTTATTGATTTCTATTGTAATTTCCCTTTAATCATTAATCATTTAATGATCTCAGTTCTTTGAAATTTTGAGAATTGTCTATGATCAGTATATGGTGTATTTTGATAAAACACTTCATGTTTTTTTGTATGGACGTCATACATTCCTCCTCTTCATCTTTTTGTTGTTTTTATTTGTTTGGATTGGTTTTTTTTTCAGACAGGGTTTCTCTGTGTTGTCCACACTGACCTCAGACTCTCAATTCTCCCTCCTCAGCTTCCCAAGTAGTTAAGATTACAGGCATGCACCATTGTCCAGCAAGATTATGCATTCTCTAGATTTTAGTTCTAGGGTTCTATAAATATCACTTAGGCTACAAAGGTAGATTGCTGTGCTTTTCAGATCTTTTGTATTCTATATTATCTGCTTATTATGCCAATTATCATAAGAAGTGATATATTCTCTGCAAGGTATAGTATTACTAGGGTTAAATAAATATATATTCTATTTGATTCTATTTTGTGTATTTAAAAATATATATTTAATATATTAAAATTTCCAGCTGGGATTTGGCTGTCTTTCTTTTTGTTTATATATTTTAGAAATTATATTACCAGGTCATGTAAGCTTGCTATTGAATTGTTTTAAAAACAATAGTTTTTGGTTGTGGAACTTACATTTATCTTCACTTTAAGTTACAGGCATCTGGCCACATGCCCTTTTTTTATTCATTAACAATATTTATTTTAAAGTCCCTACTCAAAAATTCTGATGTCTGGGACACTTGTGAGTCTTTCTTTTTCCTTGTTTAGGTCACTGTTTTATGAAATACCTTGTATATTTTATTAAATGCCAGATATTGAGGATGAAAAATTTTAGAGGCTTCTGAAGTTGTTTCTTTATCCAAAGCAGATTAAGGTTTCCTCTGTATGGTAGATCACCTTGATCTCATTGAATGCTGGCTTTAGCCTGTATTAAGTGCTGTACTGCTGTATTTGTTTTCTCTGTGGCATAATCCTAGTCCTCACTCCTAGGACATGGTCTGCATAAAATCTCAACTGCATGTGTAAAGGGTCAAAGAAGGCCTCTTCCCTTTATGGGGCTTCAGCTGCCTACTATGACTCTTGGAATTGCTGAGCTTCTGAAATCACTGCTCAACATTTTAGCCTGCCAGCTGCTGTTACCTCCCTGCTTTCTACTTACTTAGAAAACCAGAAGCTAATGCCTAGGCTTTTGCCCCTCTTCCCAAGTGGACATTAGCCAAGGGAGCTGACATTCAAAGATGAATATTTAGGGAAACTGTTTTAGACATCCGAGGACATGAGAGACAGCAATAGGAAGAAAGTAAATGGAACCTCATACCAGAAGAAGCAGAACTAACATAGCTACTGAAGGGATGAGGAAAAGAGCTGCTTGGGTGTGCACCAGCTCAGTTATTCTCATTTATACTGGCTCCTCATTCCAGCTAGGTTTAAGTTCTGCTCTAACATCCTAGAATGATATATTTGCTCTCTTAAGCATGACTTCAGGGAAGTGTAGCCCACTTTCACATATTAATATCTCTCTAGGACAAATCAGAACATTGACTATTCTTTCTCATTATAAAATGAAAATATTAGTACTGCATAATTTGTAAGTTAGTTGTAAAATCAAATGAATTAGTATGAGTATTTAGAGTGGTGTTTGGCACGTAGTAAACACTCTGAAAACTTTATCTTTTATTATTATAGGAACCACAGCTTCCTGGCGTACCAACTTCCCTCTCTGCTGAGTATCACCATAAACTGAGACACAGTTGTTACATACCTGGAATTTCTATGCCAAAGCAATAATTATGACCCCTTAGCTTAATTTCTTTGCCACCAGCAATATTCTCAGCATGTTTGGATGGGAATCCAAATATACCTTAAATGTCATAAGACTGAACTAACTTGAAACTCATGAATGACTACAAATATAAGAACACTGTACAAGTACAGGCAGACTGTATATAGTCACTTATGAAGCTAGAGATTCTCTGATTTGTACAATGATAAAAGTCATTACTCTTATCAATGTTTTATTAACCTTGGGGAATGGTTATTGTGTTGGTCAGCCTTCCCATCGCTGCAACAAAATACCCTATACCTGCAGCTTCAAGGAGAAGTTTAATTTGGCCCATAGTTTCAGAGGTTAATCAATGATTGGCTGACTCTTTAAGGCAGAAACATCATGGCTGAAAGATGTGATAGAGAAAATTGCCAACTTTATGACAGCTATGAATCAAAGCAGGGTAGCAGCACCAAAGGGGAAGAGGCTGGAGACCAGTTATAGTACCCAAAGTCACATCTCCATGACCTGCTCAAACATACCCAGAAGTGTACTTTTCTCATCCTATGGGTGGCTCCCAAGCCAGTTAGGTTGTCAGTCCAGCTTAATTGTCTAATTATGTTGCTGATCAGAAGGCAGCTTTACATTTTGATCACCAAAAGTAGTCAAGGGGGCCAGATCCTTCTAGTGGCTGCCTCAAATATATTCCTTGAAGATAAATCCTGAATGCATGGTTACCTCCCAGAATAAACATGGTTACCTCAAAAGCACCAGAATCAGCCTGTTCTACAATCTGTGACCTCAATGTTTCTTTCTATTGAGTGAGGCCATTCTTTTGTATAATGATAAGGTAAGAGTGACTCATTTTATGCAAATTCATGCAAGTATGCAACCACTACATTCACCAAAATGCAGTGTTTTAAAGGATGAAACATTCAAGGTCCTTACCAAGATCCCATGTTTCCTAGACAGAAAGACATTGTCTAGACTGGAGGGTAATTCTTTGGAGTTGAGTGTTACTGGTATTGTTTATAGATTTGTTTGCAAAGGACAAGTGGAACAAAGCAGCTACGGGAATTGACTATATGGTAGTCTTTGTGAGATACAGATACAGTGATACTTTGGAAGCGAAGTGACCAGGGCTTTGAAAGCATGAGATAGTACCTTTGGTGAAGGTAATGGTACCATCAGCAGTGATGCTTTTCTTGGAAGCTTTTGGGACTCAGATCATTTGGAAATTTGCTATAGGAAAAATTGTGCCATCCAAGCCATTTAAATTTTAGGAATAAAACTGTATAGAACTTCATTTTCATCCTTGAGTTGTTAAGTCTTGATATTCTATTTACATCAAACTTAAGTTTACTCCTAAGAAAATCTTTGGTGTATATGGATGCACATACAGACATATTAAATGGGTATTTTGATATAGAAAGGTACAAATATTGTTGCCTTTTCCAATGTCAGTTAAGTTAAATTTGTAGGCTAAATTCACCGATCAATCACCTGAAATATGGATCTGTTATTGCTTCAAATATTGAAGTCATAATGTAGCTTCATCTTCCAACTTCTGAGTATTTTTATATAGATATGAGAGAGTTTTATGGTGTAGAAGTTTGAATAGATTGAACAGATTAGTTTTCTAATTTCCCTTCAAAATGGAAGTATAATATTTTTATTTGAGGAAAAAATAAAACAAAATGTCATAATCAAATAGTCTACGGCCATACCATCCTGAACGCACCTGATCCCATCAAATAAGATAATAACAATAGTTACTACATTGTCTACCATTATTTTCAAACTAATTACTCGAGTACAAGAAATAAGCCAGAAAGATTTTTACAAAAAACAGTCACACAAAACTTTCTTTACAACGAACTAAGATAAACTAGTAGTGCACTAGTAGTATATATTAGAATTTATATTGAAACATATTTGAAGCAGGAATTTTTATTTTAGGGAAGTATTTGAACTTCTTCCTACTTCCTATTTGTATCTCTTCTGTTTCTCTCTTTGTTTATATATATTGTGCTTCTTATATTAGAGAAACCATGCAATATTTGAGGTTGTGTGTCTGACTTATTTCACTTAACAATATGTTTTCTAGTTGCATCTATTTACCCATGAATGCATCAAGTTTATCTTTCTGTCTTTATCTTTCTTTCTCCATTGTGTATAAATACATTTTCCTTAAACAGTCATATTTATATAAATATATACATTGTTTCAAAAATCTAGCTATTATAAATTTGCTGCTATATACATGAGTATGCATGTAGCCTTGTAATAGGATTTTAACTCTTTTAGCTGAGCCAAGTGAATTTCTCTTTTTAGTTTTTTGAAAAATTTCCACACTTATTTTTGTAGTGGTCATACTAGTTTATATTCCCCACCAAAACTGCAGATTGGTTCCTTTTTCCTTCATATCCTCTCCAATGTATATTACCATTAGATTTTTTGTTGATAGCCGCTCTTTCTGTGGTAAGATGATATCTCAGTGTAGTTTTCATTTGTATGTCTCTGATGATCAGCAATGATAAGCATTTTTTCATATACTTATTGGCCACAAAATGGAAATTTTAAAATACTGGAGCACTTTTCATTCCTTAGCTTCCTTCAATATGTATTTTATTATTATTTTAAACTTGTAATTAAACTTTTAAAACTAAAACTCTGTCCACTCCAAAATCTATTGGTTTATTGTGCCAATGTTTCCAAAACAATGTTTTGACATTTATAATATGTTTGTAGCCATTTATCCCTGTTGTTTGCCAGCTTACAGATAGAAAGGACTATCATACATTTTACCTTTATGTGATCAACTCACAAACTAGATTTTTCTATTTCTACAGTTGTAGGCTTTTCTTCAGAAAGAGATTTTGAAAATTACCTTAAGCAAAGTAAGAACTCTGAAAAGGTTCTGGCTGCTATTGTTTTTGATCATGACTTCCAAAATAGCAATGATGCTGTGCCACTTAAGGTAAGAAACTTTTATGTAGAAACTTCATAATTCCAGTATCCTGGTATTTAATGAAGTAGAGGTATCATTATTTTATTTAGTAAGTGAAGAATCTCACTTGCCCAGGATCATGTTGCTTGTACATGGCAGAGGCTTGAATCCAAATCTAACTTACTTCATTGTCTGTCCATTTAACTAACTTCACAGTCTGTGCTTTGTTGACCAGGATAGAATAGTATTTCCCACCTATGAGATCTTCATAGGAAGCATTGATAATTAAGAATATTAACTTTGCTACTGTATCTGACATTGCACCTGTCTCTAGCCCTGCAGATGATGCTGAAATAAAGATACATTCCCTGGGTCAGAACACCTGATGTGATAAAGCTGGTGCATCTCTTCACTGACAGGGAACACAACATGAAACATTGCCTCTCTTTTGAGTGAACCTTACAATTTTTCATCTAATTCTAGATCTAAAAATAACTCTTAAGGCTTAGGCAGGGTGAGTCAGACTTAGGACATGTGCAAATACTGAGGAAGATTCTGGTGACAGCACTCAAGGAGAAATAGTGTTCTGAACTTAGTGTTTCTGATACTGAGGGAAATGACCAAAGTAGAGATACAGATGGTTTTCAATTGAAGAAAGTATGGAAGACCGCTGGGTGGTAAGTAGAGTTGTAAGTATCTCTTCGTTCTGTCCTGACACATCCTCACTGCTTTCGTGTGTGTCATTGTCCCTCTGGTTCCTGACTTGGTGTGGGCTAATGCTGATGTAGGCTTACCAGTGTATTTCAGGCCTACTCAAAATGTTTTTGGTAGCTTCAGACTTCACCTTTTCTGCCTTTGGGTAGTCTCCATCTCCCTTCCCTTCTTACCTCCCTCTTGCTTACCCTTTACAGTTAATGCTGTGACTCTGTATTGTCTCTCCTGACTATACACACTTCTCTCTTTTTTTCATTCTCCCATCGATATACAAAACATACTTCTATCACTGAATTTGTACTTAATGTAAATATTTATGTTTCCTCAACTAGGTTTGAGATCCTTGAGGACCAGGGGCTTTGAGCATGCAATAAGTTCCTACCGATTTTATTTTGATAATTAAATAGATGAATTATCTCCAAGACCTATACATATACCCACTCCAGCTGATTATACTGATGTCTTTGTGGTTTGACCCTTCTGACCTTTACTAACTTTTGGTCCACTTATTTCAGAATGATTTACCTTGAAGTGTATTCAGTTCTCCAGAATTAGTATTATTTCTCATTAAATAATTACATTGCGCAGCAGTCCACATTTACATCTTACCACATTTCTCCTCTGTACTCATATAAGATTCTTCCATTTGTTGGAAGAATCACTTTCAGGAGAAGAGATTTTCCCTTTAGAACACTTGGCTTACCTAACAGGAAGAGGAATTAATAATGTCTTTTGGAATACTTCATTTCAGTATGTATATCAGCTGTCTGTCTAGAGAAAAATACATTTACAGTCTTGCACAAAGTTGCCAGTGTTTCTCTTCAGCAGGCCCACCATGTATATCCAAATGTTGTTGACATTTCAGAAAATTCCACGGGAGTGATATGGTTTAGATGTAGACTGTCCCCCAGAGGGGCTCAAAGTTGACTTTGGGGAAGGTGGTTGGATACAGGTGCTGTAGCTGACTTGCTGTTAGGAGGTGGGGTCTGGTTAGAAGAAGAGGCTCACTGGGGGCAACATAACCTAGAAGGATGCATCTCCTGGCTGCGTCCTGTGCTCTGCTTCCCAGTTGCAAAGATGTGGGCAGCCTCCCTGTGCCATGCCGTCTGGTGGAGTCCACCAATATCAGACTAAAAGCATGAGCCCACGCCAACCTGCCCTCCTTTAGTTGTGAGTGTCAGGTATTTTGTCCCAGTGACAAGCAAGTGACTAAGAACAAGCTTCAGAGAGAGTGGATCTGGGGAAGCAGAGTTAAGGGGAGAGAGAACCAGCATGCTCTCATTTCCTGTTGTCGAGAATCTGCTCTGAGGCTGGTTAGTCTGTTAGAATCATAGTTCCAATGATCTTTAATTTCCTTTTATTCCTGATTTTTCCTAATTATTGTTTTGCTTTATGAATATTTTTGTTTATTTCTCCTTGTAGGTAAAATATTATTTGCGTTTTAGTTATTTCAAGAAGAACAAAAGTGTTTCTCAGTTGGCTGGCTGGTTCACAAATTCTCTCTTTCCTTTATTGCCTTTGGAACCCAGAGACGTTCAGGCTGCAGATGGAGGCAGGCCTGGTGAGTAGGTTTAACTGTGTTTAAAGTCCTTTTGTATAGTAAGTTTAAAGAACTCATGTTTTTTCAACCTGTGATAAAAGCTGTTTATTTTTAACTAATTATGTTGATTTGTTTTTAAAACTTTCATTGTCCAAAAGTCCATAGAAAAAAATGCCTTTTTCAGCAATATATTTTTACTGTATTATATCCTTTCTAGATCATTATCATTGTATGTCTTCTATTTGCAAGTACATTTATTTGTGAATTTTTTACTTTTAGTTACCTATGTACAGATTTCTAAATACTGACACAGCTACTACCCAAGAGTATTAATTCTAATTGGGGTTAATTATATTAACTATAACTTACGTTATTTTGTTGGATTGATGAGTAATTTTAATACAATTATAGTAATTTTAAACTTAAAATTTATCACACAGACTGCATTCAAAAGTCTTTAGTGTGGGGCTTTCCTTTTAAGTTTTGAAAAATTACACTGAGGAAGTAATTCAGCAAAAGAACAAATTATGACAAATTTAGCATCATTCTTTTTTTTTTTTTTTTTTTTTTTGAGACACAGTCTCGGTATGCAGTTCAGGCTAGCCTTAAACTCACTATGTAGCCCAGGCTGGCCTCTAACTCACAGTGATCCTCCTGCCTCAGCCTCCCAAATGGTGGGATTACAGGCACGCGCCACCTCACCGAGGTAGCGTAATTCTTAAATTTTTGGAATAACTTACACTAAAGTATGATAAATGAATAATAAAAATATAAAAGGAACTAGGATGAGCAAAAGGGGAAAGGACAGTAGGGAAAAAAGAGAAAAAATGCAAGTCAGTTATACTATTCGTATTTCTTAGTTCACTGAAAAAGAAGGTTTGTGCTAAAATCGAGTGGAGAAATTTTTATGTCCATATCTTGTACCCTGAGAAACTACCTTAAAAATAACATGTAATGTATTAACTATTGCTGTGAAATTTTTTGACCTTTTTTCCATAAGATAAAATTTTTTAAAAATAATAAAATATAACTTGACAGAACATTTTGCAATCTTTGAAAACCTTATTTCTTTCCTTCTGTGTTAGTAAGATGTAATCTTTCACCATGAATCATCTGAAAAACTGTTAGGGCATCTAATTAAAAGAAGTATAATACATGTATGTATAGCTGCATCTTACAGAGAGACCAGTGTCAATAAAATGGATAATTCAGTTCGATTTACATGGGTGGAAATTGATGCAAACAGATACCAGTGCACATTCTAGAAGAACACATAAAACCATGGAGCTGCTCATGAAACACATTAAAATGGTTGCCAAAGGGAAAGAGAGAAGAGGAGCAAGAGAAATAAGAATGTAAGAGAATGAACAAAGCAAGTGAGTTAAGGTGCATAAACTGAGGAGTATAATTAACCCTCTGCACATGAAGCCAAAATGTGTATATACAGATGTAAATATGTAAATAATGTAAAATTTAAAGTGAGTATATTGATAATGATTAATTCCCCTGAGCCATGTTTTTCATTGTTGAATGACCTGCTCTTTTCCTTAATATACCCTTTATAAAGTAAAGCAGTTATTTCTGAAATAATACCGATTTTAGACCTTACCTCTTTCCTTCTCTGTTAATAACACATAATCTTTCAGTATACACTCTGATTCTAAACTGCTACAAGATAGGTTCTTTTATATTAATTTTTCAGGTAAAGTACCTGAAGCTCTGAGAAATTTTGAAAACTGCAAAAAGTTAAATAACTCTTAGGCACTGAAAATGGGACATAAACAAATGCAGTCGGTGTCCAGAGTCTACACATTTGAGTTTTCCCAGTGTGTTATCAAAAAAATACAAAATACATTGAGTTTATATATACATGGCAGTCCATGCCATTAGTGACAACATTCACGCTATTCCTTAGCCACGAGGGCTTTTACAGAAATAAATAATCATGAATTAATATCTTACCACTTAAGAATATTGGAGCACAGTCTAGACTTCCCTGCGTAACTGTAAGGGGACCCTATGCTTAGAGGTTAGTTAACCCTGTCCCAATGACACCAAATGTCCTTTAAGGCAGGACATCTGTGGTGAAGGTCTGGGTTTTTTTTTTTTTTTTAACTTCCAAACCATTATAGAGTAATTCTTTTGTAAAATAACATTGAAAGTGAATTATTAAAGATGGGTACTAGGATATAAAAGGATATGATAGCAACAGGAAAAATGAAATGAAAATCACATCCTGGGGTACAATTTAATACTTTTTGGATGCAAGGAAACTTTGATAAGCTGAGCTCTGAAGGAGATGGGCTCTCATGGGGGAGCAGAAAGTTTTTGTGACTTCCATAGCTGAAAGTTTCTGCCTGGCCTGGGTGGAAAAGTATTACTCAGATTGAGACTGTAGAGAAGAGAAAGCATCTGTGTTATTACTAATGGTATAGATTGGAAAAATAGATTACAATCTTAAGAGCCTAAAATCAAAGCATGTTTCAGACAGACAGTTTTGCTTCCTTTCATCCTAAGGCTTTTGCTTAGTAGCCAGCAGTGGAAGTGAACAAATGCAGCATGTTGTTGGATCTTGTTTCTTGATCCATTCTGCCAGTCTATTTTGATTGGTGAGTGGAGACCATTTACATGGATGGTTATAACTGTTATATTGCTCTTTTCCATATTTTCCTGTTGTTGGTTCCCTGTCTTTCTCTTCTGTTTAACTGCTTGCCCTGCCTGGTGGCTTCTTTCTGTTGGTGTTCTTGTGTTTGTGGTCTTCATTACCTCTTTCTAATATATTCTTCAGAACATTCTGTAGAGCTGGTTTGGTGGTCATAAATTTCTTTAGTTGTTCTTTGTCATGGAAATATCTTATTTCTCCATTGATTTTGAAAGACAGTTTTGCAGGGTACATGAATCTGGGTTGAAGATTGCTTTCCTCTAGGGTTTGAAATACATCACTCCAAGTTCTCCTTGATTTGAGGGATTGTGTTGAGAAGTCTGCTGTGATCCTGATGGGCTTTCCTTTATAGGTGATTTGTTTCTTTTATCTAGCTGCTTTTAATATTTTGTTCTTGTGCTGAATTTCTTGATTATATTACATGCCTTGGTGTAGATTTATTTTGGCCATGGCTATTCAAAGTTGTCTATGCTTCATTTATTTGTATGTCAAATTCTTTATCCCTGTTTAGGAAGTTTTCTGCCATTATTTCTGTGAAGAGAGGTTTTTTTTTTTTATGTCTTTTGCATTGTCTCCATCTTTATTACTGCCTCCACCAATCTTATGTTGTTCTTTGCTTCATCTTGTAGCTGTTGGATTGATTTTTGTGGTCTCTTGTTATTTTTAAAATACCTTCCTTTTCCTGGTTGCTACTTGCAAGCCTGTCTCCTAGATCTGATATTCTGCCCTTGCCTTTATTCAATCTGTTGCATATACTTTCAGTGGAGTTTTTAATCTCCTGGATTTCTGTTTGGATCTGTTTCACTGATTCCATTTCTTATCTATGTTAGGCATTCGTTGTTTCCATCATCTTCCCAAGCTCCTCTATTTTTTTTTTTAATCTATATGTGTTTTAGTGTCTTTCATTTTGATCATTACTTTTTACACCTTAGAATCTTCCCAAGCTCCTCTATTTTGTCCATCTATATGTGTTTTAGTGTCTTTCATTTTGATCATTTCTTTTTACACCTTAGAAATTATTTTTTCTATGGTCTCTTCCATTTGTTTTTTCACTTTTGCTGCTATCATTTCAGAGAGTTCCAGTGGTTGGTTTCTGATTTCCTCTGGTTTTGCTCTGAACTTGTTCTGGGTTGGCTGGGCATTTTGCTTCTTCATTTTGTTGGTTTCTATTTTCTAATTTTTATTTTCCTTTTTCTATATTGTTACTTGTAGATTCCTTATGTTAGATAACTTTATCCCTGGTGTTGAGAGTTTCTATGGATGTGTCTGTTCCTCTAGATGTCTTCTAGATGTAAGTAGCTCCTTGTCTTTAAGTCTGTCCCAACAGTTTACCTTGCCAGTATATTAAGAATGTAAAGTTCCTATCTACTGGACTCAGGGCCTATTTTTTTGGTACTTGACTGTGGTGACAGTTATGACACCTTACAATTGCAGTGTTGTCATACAGGAGAGAAAAACTGATTATAACAGGTATGACATCTTGGTTGAAGTAGTACCATTAGCAATAACAATAAACCCATGCACAGCCTGGCTATTGACAAACTGTAGTAACTATTAGTGTGATATCTTTAGCTATAGGTACAAGTTCTACAGTTGTATAATATCATCCAACTCATACCAGGAACTTGTATGCAATGATTTTCCACTTAGTAGAGTGATTTTACCCTGTTTTATGGGGGGTTTAAAAGGGATAGAGATTAAGATGGAAAGCTGAATGAGCTTAAATATTATAAAGATGGGGGGCTATAGAACAGTCATCTAAGTTTTGGGTAATCATAGGACACAAGAGAGACTGATTGGAAGAGAAAGCCTAAGAGTATTAAGTGAACCAGAAAGAGGAGAGACAGTGTTTACTCACATGAAAGAATCATAAAATCAATCAGGATAATTGACAGTAGAGAGGAGGAGGACTAGTACAATAAAACAAAAACAAAGGTTAGAGATCTAATCATGAAAGCAAAAGAGAAAGAAAAAAACACAGAAAACAAAAAGAACAACACACTCCAAAAAGCCGCAAAGGTACAGGAAAAAAACAAAAAAGCAGGACAAAACAGAACAGTGTGCAAAAGAGAAAAGAAAAAAAAAGAAAATTAGGGGAGGGGCGGCTCTGCCTGCCCACTTCCATTCCACATGTCTTTGTCCCCAAGCACAGTGCTGGTTTAACTAACTTGCCACCTGCTGGCTCATATTGTTCCTGTTGCTTCTATTTCATACCGCTAGTCCCTTCCCCTCCCCCCATCCATTGTGTGTACCCTGCCTGGGGGCTGTACTGTGTAGCTGGCTTGCCTGCTGGTAGCCACATTGTCCCAGTGGAGGGAAAGAGAAGCCAATCTCGGATCCTGGCCTCACTACATTTTAA